CAAAATGGCTGCTCAGAATGAAAATTTCTAGAACCATGCTAGAATGAACATTTTTTTCAGACAAAACATACCCGCTATACGGTATGTGTACATGTACGTGTACATAGCATTAATAAGATGTAACTATTTAAGCGTATATAATTTGTGAAATTTCTTTTTTTGTATACATTGTTTAGGGCTTTTGTTGCACTATATGCTTTAAACTTTCCCATGCACAATTGCTAAGGTGTCTAATTATTATTGGTCTTGTATGTGAAGTGTATGCATGTGTGACATACATGTACAAGTATGTGCAAATATTGAATACGAATTTACCTCCAAATGAAATCATCATGGCATTAAAAATTTATTAAAAGTCTAATTTTGATCAGAATCAGCTCAGAATTTTTATAAAACATGTATATGTATCAGAAAAATTATAAAAGTGGTCAATTCTTTTTAATTTTTGATGAGAGTTGGCAAAAACCTATAGTGTACAGGGTATTTTGTTCAATTTTAAAAGATTAAAATCAATAATAATAAGAGTGGTGAATTCTTTTTAGCCATTTTTAATGAAAATTTGTACAGGGTATTTTGTCCAATTTTTAAGTGACTTTAAAAATTCATTAAAAAAATTCAATTTTGTTCAGAATCAGCTCAAACTTACTATGCAACGTAAAACATGTACATGTATACGTAGCAAGAAAAATTTAAATAGTAGTGAATTTTTAATGAAATTTGATCAAAGACTATGTACCATAGTACAGGTTTCACAAGATATTTTGTCTAATTTTGAGCAACTTTAAAAATTCATAAAAATTGATGGGAATGACATTCAACATTTTATGCAGCACAATGATAATTATGTATCAAAAATTATAGAATTGAAAAAAATTTGTAGTCATTTTTGACAAAATAAGTACACCCACTCACCCTGTACACTGTGTTTTATCAAATTTGGTTCAATTTTTAAAATTTTCTGCCAAGATGCTGAGCCATATGCCAAAACCTGTGGGAATTAAACCCTGATTACTGTAAATGTACAAATTGTATAGTTATTGATTGTGATAATGTTTATATTTAGTTGTATAGTAAATACTATTATATAAATGTAGCAATTGGCTCAAGTACAGAGGGTATGGTCTGGCAGCTATGCCAGACTATAGGTGAATGGTTCAAGTGACATGGTAAACATTCTTTAAACTACATGTATAAATATTGTTTGCATGGTAGAATAACTCTAAAAGCTGATTTACACTGCAACATGTTACGATTAGAGGTGCTTGTTAACATATATGTAATGCAAGAGTTGGGAAGTTTCATCTCTTACTTACACCATACTACTGGCCCATACATATACAGGCACTTCTGTCTAATCATAGTATTTATGGTCT